TTTATTTTACCTTTATTTATTCCTTCTCTAATGCTCTTCCTTTCTGTTTTCCTAGATCTGAGTTTCTTACCTATATCACTTTCCTTCTCTCTAAAGAACTTCTTTTAACATTTCTTGCAAGGCTGGTCTACTAGGGATAGATTCCCTTAATTTTTGTTTGAGAAAGTCTTTATTTCTCTTTTGCTTTTATATTCCTGGTCTGATAATTCCAAAATTTCTGCCCTATCTGAATCTGTTTCTGATGGTTTGTCTCTGCAGACTGTTTTTGCCTTTTAGCCTGACATAATTTTTTGTTGAAACCCAGACATGATGTATCATGTAAAAGGAACTGAGGTAAATAGGCCTTTAACGTGAGATTTTATGTTATCTAGCTAGGAATTAGGCTGTGTTTACTGTTTGTTGTAGTAGAGGAGTCTGAGGCTAAAATTTTCTCCAGTGTCATTGTTTTTGACTCTACTGTTTTCTTTTGGCTTTCTTTGGGACTCCTTAGAGTCTGTGGCTACAGTTCTTTTAGCTGTAGTCACCTGTTATTGTACAGGAGCCCTACTGATGGGATAGTAAGATGTGGGGGGATGGGAAGCATTTTATAGTCCTATAATTAGGTCTCAGACTTTTAGTGAGCCTCAGTTGGGTATTTCCATTCTCCCATGTCAAAGGCGAGAAGGGGCTAGAATTGAATACCTCTCCTCCCCCAATTGAAAGCTAGATGGGGCTGGAATTGGGTATTTCCCTTTCCCCAGGTCAGTAAGTATTTAGTAAAAGCTCAGTAGTTTGTGATCTGCTAGTTTCCCTATGATGTGTTTCAGAATGATTACTATTCCCCTCTGCTGGAAGCAGGAGGGAATTTTTCTTTGACCTTTACAGTGAGAATCTGGTAGGGCTCCTGGAGGGAGTAGAACTCAGAAAAGTGTGGGGAACCCCCAAAGACTGGGCCTTCTCTGAGTTTTTTAATACTCGGGCTAGTCTATACTGATTCTTCAGTAATTTGTTAATTACAGTTTAAAGTGTTCCTACTGTGCAGATGTGGGCTTCTGCTCCTGGTAAGCTGTGATTCTCTGTATCTGCCTGTCTCTTCATTTCTGGGGGCAGCAATCTGTCCCGAGACCTCAATTCACTGATGGATCTAAGAAGAATTGATTTTCAATTGTTTAGCCTTTTTCTTGTTGTGAGGATGGGAATGATGACTTCCAACTTCTTTACATTTCAGGTCAGAAACTGTTTTGCTATCTTTGCCTGACTTTATTATCATCAAAATTCTAATGAGATGCTGGTATAGAGTTCCTTTTTATCTTTTGTTTCCAACACTATTGCCATTTTGTATATCTTCATAAGTAAATTTAGTGGTGAGGTTTTATCATAAATTTCAGCTAACTTTAGAATCCTGTTAATTATCTTTTGAGGTAAGTGGAAGTGACTCCTGGTACTAGAAAATAATATTTTAAAAATTATAGGGCATAAAATAAAACAAGCTTAGGAAGAACTAATTTTTAAGAGTATAGTATTCCCCATGTCCATTCTTTTAAAAGCAATTTTCAATGCTTAGCAATATCAATGATATTTATTTTGGTCAGGAGATGTTTTTTCAACTCAAGTTTTCCAGAAAGAAAGAAAGAGAGAGAGAGAGAAAGGAGGGAGGGAGGGAAGGAAGGAAGAAAGAAAGAAAGGAAGGAAGAAAAAGAGGGAGAGAGGCTCCACCATTACCCTCTTACTGAGGGCAATTGTATACACTGCACAAAACTAGGTACATTATTTGTACCAGTTTTGCATTGATTGAACATTTTCTTTTTCTTTTTCTTTTTTTTTTTCCTTTTTGTCTTTTTTCGTGTCCGGCAATGGATCGCAACCCTCAGTGTCACGCCCGTACCGGACAGGGACCGGCAACGGGATCGCAAACCTCGGTGTCGCGCCCGCACCTCGCTCAGCCAGTGAGCGGGAACCGGTCTGTATGTGGGATCCAAACCCTCGGCGGGAGCGCCACCGCACTCCCAAGCGGCGCACTGTAGCAGTGCGCCACCGGGCCGGCCCTTCTTTTTCTTTTGAAAATGTGATTAAAATCTACATCAGGGGTTAGCAAACTTTTTCTTAAAGGGCCAGATACTAAGTATTTTAGGCTTGTGGGTCATGTGGTCTCTGTCACAACTAGTCAACTTTGCTATTATAGCATGAAAGCAGCCATACATAAGTAAATGGTTGTGGCTGTAGTTTGCCTACCCCTCTTTATGCCTACATACTTTTAAAGGAATTGACGACTGTCATGAAGAATTTAAGATAGGTTATGGACAGAGCTGAAACTCCGAATTTATATATCTGATTTTCCTCTTATCTCTCTAGTTTTCTCTGCAATTTTGTCCATTTCTACCAACATTTTGTAAATGTTGAAATTCACTAAACCTCAGCCTTAGATCATTTTCTTTTCTCACTTCTATACTCTCTCCATAAGCAATGACTCCAATATTTTTAAATTCAGTGTATTCCTCTGCTCTGAATCTAACTGCCAACTTCACATTTCTTGAAGGCACCTCAAGTTCAACATAAGTAAACTGAATTTATAATATTCCACTCTCAAACATAGTTTTCTGTTGGTTTTCCCAGCTTCAGTGAATGGTATCATCACCTCTTTAACAAGACAAGCCAGAAATTTAGAAATTATACTTCACATACAGGATAATTTCTTTAAATCTGTCGAATCTTTTCATCTGTCCACTTTTTCTCTGCTAATGAAAAAGTTTCTACTGTCTCTTATCTGGATTATTGCAACAGAGAGCCATTATTGGCCCCTTACATCCTTGTGGTTTGAGTGATATTTACCAAACAATATTCTGATCATATAACTAGCCCCACCCCTTCAATGATGTCCCTTTGTTGTTAGGATAAAAATACAAATACTTGGGAATGGGGATCATAAAGCTGTGTGCGTTTTGTCACCCACCTGCCTTTCCATTCTCAGTTTGCAATTATTTTCCACCCTATTCTGTGCCACAGCTATGCTGGCTTTCTATTAGTTCTTCAAATAAATATGTAGTGCTCATGACTTCTCTCTGAAATGTCCTTGCCCCATCTTTGCCCAACTAAACTACTATTCATCCCTCAGATCCTTAATTGCTTCTCCTCATGGAAGCTTTCCTTAGCCCCCAGTTTAGAACAGTCTCTCTGTAATAGACCCTCTTAGAACTGAATTCCTATACTTTATAGCATTTATCTCAGTTTATAATTATTTATCGGTGATTATTTAATTAATGTCTACTTTTATCACCAGACTGAAAAACCCATGCTTACCACTACGTCCCAGGTGCAAATTCTTAATAAATATTCATTGATTGAATGAATGAATGAATGGTCATGTACAAAATCCAAATACTTGCATTACAATGAGCAAACCAATTTTGAATCTTATCTGGGAAAAAGAGACAACTCATTGAGTTGTTGGCTATAGAAAGAGTACAGATCTCTCTTATTTTATTTTTCTCAGACTTTAAATATGTTTTAACATCACTTCTGTGCCCTTCATTTTACCAATTTTCTACTGTCTTTTTCTATGATAAGACCAGGCAGCTTATATATATGAAACAAAGCCCATTATATCCATTATAAATTGATTCGTATTTTATTTACTAGCCCCACTGGCCCTGTGACCCGCATGTTAATTTTTAGGTTCTCTTAAGCCACTTAAGTCATCTAAGGCTAAAGGAACAAGTATTTTCTTATGTAGATACTAAGATATTGTCTCTGCTGTTTCTATAGCTCTACTGGCACATTTATCATTACTTAAATTCCTTCTTCATTAAGGCTCAATTAGTTTTCATTCCATTTCACTTCATGTAATGTTCCCTACTTGTTGAATGATTATGCCTTTGGGAACATGACCTTTTGTCAATTTAGTTTAACAAACATGCATTGAGTAGATTTATTATGCCAGGACAGAGGATTGCAAAAGTGAAAGAAATTATCTCTGACTTTAAGGAGCTTACATACTTTTCAGGGGATACAGATATGAAAGTAAATAATGCTAGTAAGAGTTGTATTATTTTAGGTCAAATAAACATTAGAATTGGGATGGCAGGTTAAGACATACAAAATAGGGAGAAAACCAAAAAGAATTTAGTTGGATAAAATCAAAACCATATCTAAGATTCTTTATTTGCCAAGAATTACATATATTGCTTTACTTATTGTATGGAGAGCTTTTTATCATGGGTTAAGTAAGTGAAGGAGGAAATTAACAGTTTGGTAAGAATAGCTCTTTAACTGTTAGAATTTTCCACTTGCTGTTATCTAAATGAATTACGTAAAGGCCACCTGTAAACCTTTGTGTCAACTGATGATAAAATCACCCAGTGGTTTGAAAGACTATATTGTATTGTAAATCTTAGAAGCACATTACAGCATATTACATCCTATATTATTAACCAGAAGAATGACTTCATTGGCAATAAAGAATTCATTGTAAGAAAGTAGGTGTGACAAGGTCTTTCCTTTTCACAATTCATTTTCCATGGAAACCCTATAATTGAATCATATTTATGAAATTGTGATCTAAGTTTTTGTATTGTTGATGTAACAGCATTTCTGTCATGTTTGTACATTTTGGCCCATTAGATGTAGAGTTTGGCTTCTCTGTATGTTCTTTTATTATAGAGTTGGCCTCATAAACGTGATTTTGTGTGTGTGTGTGTGTGCGTGTGTGTGGCAATGTAATAATTATAAAAACAGCAAGCCATTCAGAAAGAGAATTTCTGAGATTCAATAAAACAGGGTTTTCTTTCTTGAAAACAGAAATATGCTCAGTTTTAACAGTTCCAGAAAAATAGCACCAAATTTGACTATGAGAAACCAGAAATGCACTAAAAACTATATTACGGCAAAATATTCATTCTTCATAATTACCCTATGGTGTCTATGATAAGTTTGGCCCAGTCACAGAACACCAGGGCAATAATAATGGAAAGATAAATGTATATTATGAGAAAAACACAATTAGAAAAGTATAAAGATAAACTTACTGGTTCTCCTGCAAGTCCCCGGTCTCCTGTACTTCCAGGGGGTCCCTGTAAACCCTGGACAAATAAAGGCAAAACTTGTAGAAAAAGTGGTGTTTGAAAATGTTTTAGTTTGTTTGCTTACCTTAGCTTTCCTTATAAATCTTTCCACCTAACTTTTCTATGTCTACCTCTATTTTTTGACTTTTATAGCAAAATACACATAACATAAAATTTACCATTTTAACCATTTTTTAAGTGTACAGTTCTGTGGCATGAAGTACATGAACATTTGTGTAACCATCACAACCATCTATCTCAAGAACTTTTCACCTTCCCAAACTGAAACTCTGTACCCACTAAACACTAACCCATCACCCTTTTCTTCTATTCCCTGGTAGCCACTATTCTAATTTCTGTCTCTATGAGTTTGATTGCTCTAGATTACTCCAGATTATTGTCTGATTACTTATATACAATTTTTAGCTATGTTTCATTTTTTTATTTCTGTTGTTGAGTTGTAGGAGTTCTCTATATTATTATATTTAATCCTCACTCTTTTTTTAAAGTTGTTTTATTTATTTATTTATTTTTTGCTCATTTCTTTTTTTTTGAATTTTTATTTTGTCAATATACAATGTAGTTGATTATTATGTCCCAACACCGAAACCTCCCTCCCTCCTCCCTCTCCCCCTCCCACCCAAGAATCCTCACTCTTATACTGTGATAAATATTTAGAATTATTTTAAATTTAGATTTCTTTTAATATTAGTATAAGTTTTTTTCCCCCAAATAATATCTTTGTGATGTGCTAATAAGATTACTTTCTTATATCCTAGCAAGGCACAGGAGTATCTGAACTTAGATGGACAGAAATGACCATACTGGACCTCTAACTTTCTTTTTTTTTTTTTCCCTTTTCATTTTTACACCATCCCACCTATGGTACCATAAAGTCTGTCTCAGATATGAAGTATGTTATAAAATGGTAGAGAGAACTCTAAACCAAATTTTGGGTCCTCCCTGATCCTTCCATTCAAAGATTTACTGAGCATGTACTATGTTCCAGACACTGACAATATATAAAATATTGCCCCTGTTTGCAAGCTGCATCTTCTACATTACTGACCTTGGGAAGGTTGATAACATTAAACTGAAGTAAAGATATTCACAGTTCTTAGCAACACACAGTCTTCTAAGTTATAATCATCAATGCCATATTCAGTTTCTCTGGTTAGAGAAAGGGAAATATGTAAAATTATGAACTCCCATCTGGCTAAGGCCCTGTTTCAGTCCTGAAAATCATATGCTGCTCATTCACTCCAGGTTCCTAAATTAAGAGACAGTATCAATTTAAGGGATCCTCCTGTGTCCAGTATACTAACTGAAACATATAGCAAAAGTTCAGAGCTTTAAAGAATGTCGGCCCAACTTTCTTTGTAAAGTATGTTTGGACACAATATCAAGCTTAATATATACTTTTAATGCTTGTTGGTGGTGCATAAAAGATGTTTTATAAAGCTATAACATGATTTAAATGGGCTCTATTTTTATTGGGGATGAAGAGGAAAAGCACAAGCTTGCACCAAACAAAAATTCTCTTTAGGGCTTTTCAGCATTTTAAAGATAGGGAAACGGAGGCTCAGACAGGTTAAGTAATTTGCACAAAATCAAAACAGCTAGTGAATGGCAGAACCAGTATCAGACCGCCCACATATCTGACTCCAATACAACAAATGATACATTATATGCAGAAGAATAATATCAATAATTGTGGACTTGTCAGAAATACTGGAGGCCAAATGAAAATAGAAAATCATCTTTATAGTGCTGAATGAAAACAAAACCAAGGCTAAACCCTGTCAAGTCAGAATCCTATATCCAGTAAAAATATCCTTCAAGAATAAAAGTGAAATAAAGACATTACATAAAAAAAGTAAGAGAATTCATCACTAGCAGATTTCACTACAAAACGTCTAAAGGAAGTTTATAGGCTACAGGAAAATGACACCATTTGGAAATGTGAATCTTCAGAAAGGAAAAAGAGCACCAGAAACGGTAAATAGGTGGGTAAGTGAAAAATACTATTTCCCCCTTAAATTTCTTGAAAATATACATTTCACTTAAATTAAAGAAAATAGCATTTTATTTATATTAAAGCAAAAAAATAACTTTGCAATGTGGGGTTTAAAACATGTGTAGATGTAATACATAAAACAATTATAGCATAAAAGACAGAGTGTTGATAGATGGGCCTATATGGTTGCAAATTTCTTACACTTAAGTATTTAACAAAAAATATTTATTTTGCAATCTTCGACAAAGGCATCAAGTCTATTCACTGGGGTCGGGACTCCCTCTTCAGCAAAGGGTGCTGGGATAACTGGGCAAATAGGGCTGGGCACAGACTTCATGAATATGACCCCAAAAGCATGGGCAACCAAAGGAAAAATAAACAAATGGGACTATATCAAACTGAAAAGTTTCTGCACAGCAAAAGAAACAATTAACAGAGCTAAAAGACAGCCAACAGAGTGGGAGAAAATATTTGCAAAATACATATCTGACAAAGGACTAATATCCAGAATATATAAGGAACTCAAACAACTTTACAAGGAAAAAACAAGCAACCCAATTAAAAAATGGGCAAAAGAGCTAAGTAGGCATTTCTCTAAAGAAGATATGCAAATGGCCAACAGTCATATGAAAAAATGCTCAACATCACTCAGCATCCGGGAAATGCAAATCAAAACCACACTGAGATACCATCTCACCCCAGTTAGGATGGCTAAAATCCAAAAGACGCTGAACGATAAATGCTGGCGTGGTTGCGGAGAAAAAGGAACTCTCTTACATTGTTGGTGGGAATGCATAATGGTGCAACCCCTATGGAAAATGGTTTGGAGGTTCCTCAAACAGCTGAAGATAGATCTACCATACGATCCAGCTATCCCACTGCTGGGAATATATCCAAAGGAATGGAAATCATCAAGTCGAAGGTATACCTGTTCCCCAATGTTCATTGCAGCACTCTTTACAATAGCCAAGAGTTGGAATCAGCCCAAATGTCCATCATCGGATGAGTGGATAAGGAAAATGTGGTATATATACATAATGGAATATTACTCAGCTATAAAAACGAATGAAATACTGCCATTTGCAACAACATGGATGGACCTTGAGAGAATAATATTGAGTGAAACGAGTCAGGCAGAGAAAAAGAAATACCACATGTTCTCACTCATTGGTGGGAGCTAAAAAATAAACAAATTAATTTACCCACAAACACACACAAAAAATCCCGGGGGGTGGGGTGGGGAAGAAGATATAACAACTATACTCTTTTGAAGTTGTTACAACAAGCAAACGGAAAGGACATTCTTGGGGGGGAGGGGAGAGAGGGAGGAGGGTGGGAGGTGTCGGTGATGGGCCATAATAATCATATACATTGTATATTGACAAAATAAAAATTTAAAAAAAAATATTTATTTTGCAGCACTTTACAGAAAATGTTTGTTGACCCCTGACCTAGAATAACCACTCAAAATATTAATGAGGAGAAATATAGCTTAGAAACCAATAGATAGATTAAAATAGAATTCTCAAAATTATTCAATGCCAGCAGAAGGCAGTGAACAACAGTAAAAAGGACACAAAGAGAAGTGAATCAGAAAACATAGACCTAAATCAAACCATATCAATAATTACACTAAATGGAAATGGACCAAACACTAATTAAAAGGCAAAGATTGTGAGAATGAATAAAAAAGCAAAATCCAACTCTGAGACATTCATTTAAAATATCAAGACACAGATAGGTTGAAAGGAAAATAATGGAAAAGATATGTCATGCAAACAGCAAGCAAAAGAAGGCTGGAAAGACTGTATTTTAATATCAGATAAAGTAGTTTTCAAAAGAAAGAGTATTAAAGGAAGGAATAAAATGAATTACTAGAAATAAAGAGGAGCATTTTTAATGATAAAAGGGCCAGTTGATTAGGAAGACATAATAATCATAAATGTGAATATACTTAGAATTTCAAAATACATGAAGCAAAATTTGACAGAATTAAAGGGTAAAATAGAGTAATACTGAATCATAGCTGGAGATTTTTTACACCCCTTTCTCATCAATTTATAGAGCATCTAGATAAAAAAAATAAGTAATGTATGAACTGTTAGTTTTTATACAATTTAGAAAACCAAAATTAGTGACCCAGGCTTTATAACCTTAATAACACAATGAATTGTGGCCTTTCTCCCTGAATCTCCCTTTGAGTCAGATCTATGTGTGGATGGAAGGCAAGTTAGAGGAAACAGTGTTGGCACACAGACAAATATACTTTTACTGGATATCTGGACCACCAGGGTACATAGTGTTGCTAGTTTTCACTTAATACCTGGCTTTAGAATTATGACAATTTGGACATGGAAGGGGTCTTAGAGATCTTATCGGTCTCCTTATTTTATAGATAGGAAAATACAAGAGAGCTAACCAATTTAACCAAGGTTATACAGTTTTAGGAGTATTCACTAGAACAAAAATCAAAATGACCTCTCATATATCTTTCTACTACAGCACTGCCTGCTTGTTGACAGTGCATAGTGACTGGAGACTCTAAGATTACTTATTCTAAAGGATCAAATGAATATTTGGGTCTTGTCTGGCTTTTTTCGATTGATTATTTCTAGCTTCTACATGCTCTCATTCAATCAAGGAGAAAGAGACAATGTAGGTATAGAGCTAAGTAAACTTCAACAACTATTATAAACTTATGATTTAATGTCCAACCCATGTCATCCACTAAAGTAACTTTACTTTTCCAGTAGTCTATGGTACTAGTTTGCTGTAAGCTAAGGTCACGGAATATTCCAGTATCTTTTATTTGATTGAGGAAGTCAAACATCAAATATCACATTTCTCTCTCTCTTTCTCTCTCTCTCTCTCTCTCTCTCTCTACTTTTTTCCCCCTCCAAATATCACATTTATTCAAGCATACCTGATGAGCTGAAAATGAAGATAAAATTCTAAGAAAGTTCAACAGTACACAAAATGAGTAAGTAATTTCATTTCTATGTGCCTCATTTTTTTCTTAAATGAAAGGAATAAACATGGAATCCAAATTTCTCTACTTGCTGCAACATATTTGCTTTATATACAGTATAACAAAGTGGTTAGAATCTACAGAAACACCATTTACACTGATTTAATAGAAATCCAGATAATGAATATTAATACTCAAGGAATATTCTCTGGGGATGATTATAATTAATAATACAATACCACACAGCAACTCTTTCCCTGAACACAGTCATTTTTTCTTTTTTACGTCTCTTACATTTTAAGTTTGACCATTGTCAAATAAAATGCTATTGTGAGAAACAAAAGGCAGGGGGCAGCAGATTTCAAAGAGGAACAATCAAGTGCAGTGACATTAGTGACAGTTACTATAGCAGTTAAAGCACTTTATCCTATCCTTTTCTGACACCTCAGCTGTAATCTGTTTATACTATTATCTAATTTTATAACTTTAAACTATACACATGAATGTATATAACAAATCAAAATGTCATTATTAAAAACTATGATTCTGAATGAAAGTAATTAAAAATAACCATACATTTAAGCTTTTGTGCTCATATATATGTAACAGTTTATGTGTATATGTGTATGTATGCATGTATACCTTTCTTTTTAATATTTTTTTAACCCTTTCCTAGTGATGATAACCACAGAATTTGTTGCCTCTCAGGGGAAAAATTATGTAATTCTGGCAGGATATTTGATAGTAGAAAAATATCTAGAGCTATACAATATTAAAAACTTTTAGGGCCGGCCCGGTGGCATACTGGAGAGTGCACCGCTTGGGAGTGCAGCGGCGCTCCTGCCGAGGGTTCGGATCCCATGTGGAGACCGGTTCCCGCTCACTGGCTGAGCGAGGTGCGGGCGCAACACCGAGGGTTGCGATCCCATTACCGGTCAGTAAAAAAGACAAAAAAAAGGAAAAAAAAAAAAAACTTTTAGAGCACTGCCATGGGAAGCATGACAATGCACACAGTTCCATACTCTAAGGGTCTAACAAGCACTCAAGTTGAGTTAAAAGGAAACAAGGCAAGAGGTCTCGAAGTTTCTCATTGTGTTAGCTTTATTAATATCCCATTCTATTTATATATCACACCATTTTGTTTTCTAATGGGTTTTACACAAAAACTAATTTATCATAGCTAAAGTAAAGTAAAAGTACCAGTCATCACCAATGGTTTATAGCTAGGTACAACCAAGGCCCAGAATGGGTAAGCAACTTGCTCAAATAAGACAATGACCTAATGATTAAAGGAGGAAGAGAATGTGTATTCTCTTAGTATAACATACTAAATACTAAATAATAGTTGTGTCAAAAAATAAAGCAGATAAGAGTAATCATTTCATAATGTATACATATATCAAAACATCACATTGTACACTGTAAATATATACCATTTGTATTTGTCATAAAAATCTCCAAAACATTGTTTGAGCACACCCTCCCCCGCCCCCCGCTAAAAAAAGCAGATTAAAAATTGTTCAAAGCCTGATTATTTTTTATTACTTACTGGTTTCCCTTGAACTCCCCTCTCTCCAGGGTTTCCAGTTTTACCCTACAGAAGAAAAAAAAAATGCTTGGGTCAAATAGCCCCCTTCCAAAACATTAATCACACACCAAGAAAAACAGGGAAGATTTTCAATGTTTACCTTTAATGTGAAATGTTTTATTACTTACAATAAGACCAAGAGGCCCTCTTTTTCCTGGATCTCCTTTTTCACCCTAACAAAATATCAGTACCAGGTGAGTTAGTAAGAATGTGAATTATGGTATATAGTTCAAAATTGGAAAGAAAATATTTCTGTGTGTGAAGTAAAAACTTTATAAATGTTTCATACTTAGACTAAGAGAAAATTCAGAACCATACTTTTGTAAGGAAATACATCATTTTTAAGACCGGTAGGACATATGGGCTCAATAAAAGCTAACTGCATATGAAATGAGAGAAATCAATGCTTACCTTGGCACCTTGTATGCCTTGTTCCCCTAAGAGACCATCTGGTCCTCTTGGTCCCTAGAGTGGGAAAAATATTCTGTTGCTAATTTGGAATGTTCCCTTTTTTATTGTTATGTGTGCTTATAAATGAAGACCCCATGCCCTTCTTTGTTGACAAACTCCTGCTTGTTTTTAATGCCCTGACCACAGAAAAGAATACGGCTGGGTACAAGGCTGCACCTATATGCATGGGAGAATCAAGACCGTGTTTTTCAGATTTAATGCCAAATAGTAAATCAGATAACTGTAAAAATAGCTTATTCAGTTGTTGAGGTGGGTATAATAGAGGTTTGTTACGTGGGTGTTTTGTTCACTTTATCATTTACTCAGCAGACAGCCAAGATTTATTCTTAAAACATCTCTGAATAAACTTAAAAGTGTCTGTTTTGTTTGTTTGAACAGTCTTCTTAAGTTTCATATTCTGGGAATGGTGCTCTTCACATTATCAGAAAATGAATGCTGGTTGCATTGTACCCACTATGCTCCTGCCTGACAATAGTCACCAGGAGATGACAGGGGCAAGAAAAAGAGCAGAAAATGCTGTTGGAAATATTAATGTAAATTTAAAGCTTCTCAATAATTAGTTGCAAAGAAGCAATAGTTGTAAAAGACATTCTCTAATAAAATGACAGAATAGTCTTCCTGCTTAAATTATAACTTTCCTTGGAAGATCTGAAAGTTCTTTTTTAGGGACCTAATTAAATTCTACAGCCTCTAACAGAACATTTACTGTGGAAAATGAATTTCATTAAGTGTTATCTGGATACACAGTTGTGAGAAAGTTTCCCCATTACGAAATTTTATAAAATAAAAAAGTAAATTATACGAATGACTATAATACAGGGAGAGATAAGGCATGTCAAGGACAAATAGGAGAATTCAGAGAGAGAGAGAGAGAGACAGGTTTCACATGTTTATGACGGACATGTAGGTATCATTTTGGCAGCGGGAGGGCAAGCTCTCATAGACATATTCAAAATATTAGGAACTCTAGATAGAAGGATAGTATGAGAAAAGGGAACGGAGGCATGAAAGAAGATACTCAAAAAATGAAAAAGTAGTTTGTACGGCCAGGCTATTGATTACATGTGGAGAAATATTAAAAAATAAGTGTGGAAAGAAAAACTGGGACTTAAAAGTTGAGGGACTGGAGTTTATATTTAAATCAGTTGGCTATGGGGAACCACTAAAGATTTCTATACAGGACAGTGATACAAATCTCCCAGTACAACATGCTGATTTGAAGGCGTTCTCTAGCTTCAGCACCTTGTCTTGCACATCATCTGAGATAAGCCTTGCTTTAGCTTTATATTATTAAAATCTGCTCACAATAATAGGACTCTCTTCCTAGGTACTCTTAGGGTAATGTATTCTTTGATCCTCTTGGCCACATTCATAGATTTGGAGAAAATGCTCACACTCCATTAGAAGCATAGTTTCACTGGTCCTATTAAAGCCATAGCTCCAGTGCCATAGTTTCTCAGTTCATATCCAAGGTACTCCATAGTCTGTCCCCAACTTCCTTTTCTGCCCTATTTTCCAATAAAATACTGGAAAACTAAATTACAGTCTTATTGTGAAAGACTTGAATATCAACTTGAGGAGTACGGACTTAAAAGTGCTTATCAAACAACTCCTATGGTACACCAGGTATTGTTTTAAGCCCAGAGGACAGGGTAGGGAGAGGAGACAAATCCCTGAATTCATAAGCAAGCAAATAAAGATGAAAAATTAAAGTAAAAAATGAAAATAGGCAGTCAAGTATAATGAAGAAAAATAAAGGAGATTAAGGGACCAGAGATTATCCAAGGTGGAGAGCACTATTTTAGATAGAGTGGTCTGAAAAGTCTGTCTAATGTGGCATGTGGGTAAATATCTGAAGAAAGTGAGATTGCAGCCATGCAATAACTTGGGGAAGACCAATGTGGAAGAAGAAACAGCAAGTGCAAAGGTCCTGAGGTGGGGGCATGCTTGGAAAATTCAACAATTGAGTAACTGAAGATGAAAAAAACCCAAAAAAACAAAAAAAACAAATGATTAAAGGATGACTCTGAAGTTTCAAGCATGAAGGTCCCTGAGAACTTTGCTCTAATGATTACCCTCATCTTAAAATTTAACCAGCCTGTATTGATTCTTTTTCTCTGGCACGTTCAATGCCTTATTTTCCTCTTTCTGCCCTGTGAGAAACAGTGCTAAGTGTTTTTGGAGTAACAAAAGAAGAAGGCTAACAGAGTTTGAAAAGGAATGAGTGGTCAACATTCCAAAATACTGCAGAAAATATGTATGCTCTAAACTGAAAATGTGTCCACTGGTAATCAGGTACTTAAAAACAACTTTGTAACCTCAAATCTCTATGTCTTTCTTGGACATTTTGTTACTGCAGGCTATGGGTTAAATATGTTGCCCCTAAAACTCATGTGTTGGAAATGTGATTCCCATTGTAGCAGTGTTAAGAGGGTGCGAAATCTAATTATGGTATTTTAAAGGTAGGGCCTTTAAGACGTGATTGGATCATGAATACTATGCCCTCATGAATGAATTAATCCATTCATGGAGTAATGTGTTAATGGTTTAATGGGTTATCATGTGTGTAGACTGGTGGCTTTATAAGGAGAGTATATGAAAATGCTATTGCTATTTTCAACGTATAATACCCTGATCGCCACAGGACTCTGCAGGCACTCCACCAAGAAGGCCCTCACCAGACATACCCTCTGGACTTTTGATTTCCCAGCCTCTAAAACTGTAAGAAACAAATTGTATTTCTTTTAAAATAACCCAGTTTCAGGTATTCTGTTATATGCAACTGAAAACTGAGTATACACTGAGTAACTGGTAGAACAATAACAGCATTAATAGAAAAAAAAATTAGAAATGTAACTTTGGGGTGGACAGAGGAGTGGTGGTAGATAATGAGTTCAACTCTAGTGACAGAGTTAGAAGTCATTCTCAGTTTAAATGATAGCCATAAAGATAAAGCTTCAAAAGCTTCAAAATTCTTTAGTAATATTAAAGAGTTAATCAAATTAATGAATGATCAGTTTAATTCTAAATGCATTAGATGAGAGGAGACAAAACAACTATTTCATATAAATGCCCTGACACAGAGGTATAAATTTAGAATTTTTTTTAAAAGTTTGTTTGGTCCAAGATGGTAAATAAGTTTCCTTTCTTGAATAAAATCAGATTAAGTGGCTGCCTACGAGTATACATAGGAAAGACTGAATCTAGCTGAAGAAAAGCCTCAAAATTAACTGCCAGTTTCTTGTCCTGCCACATAAATCACCTACTGCCATGGATGAACTAGTCCAAATCCCAGTTTTTAAGATGGAGAAACTGAACTCTGCAGATGTTAGGTGAGTTGCCTGACTCCCATGATGTCTAAATGCCCAAAGACTTTGAATAATTGTGCTTTATTAAGTTAATAATATTTTTTCAAATGTTAAAAAGAAATAAGGGTTAATCCTGTCAGGAAGTGATTCAGGCTAGAATAGAGGACTTGAAATTAGAATACATTTACAAAATGAATATTAAACATTCACAAGTAAAGAGCTGATTGGTAATATAATTGAAAGGAACTCCCTCCAAAATTAAGGAATACTTACAGTAATGATAACCACTCATTTTACAATGTTTTACTTTAAAAAAATACTTCTACATTTATTATTTCATTTACTAAGCCTGGGCTACACAGGGAACAAAGAAATACAGGTTTCTGTGCCTATAGTGATGGTAGAAATAACTGCATTTAATTGGAAAAAAAAAAGGTCTAAGTAGTGCAATTGCATTGAAGGCTATAAAGTCTAAGTTTGCTCATTAAGAGTTCAATGGTGGCAGAACTCTAGGAAAGGTAGTCTATGCTCCAGGCAAAAGTAACCTAACTAACTAAAAGCTTAGCTTTATCAGCATCTGTAAGTTTCCCTCTGACACTGGTTGTAGAAGTTACCCCATGGGTTAGTGTATATGCCTGCTTTGACTCCTAAGACAAAATAAGCTTTAGGACAAGCTCTAAGAAAGCTAGACGAATAGCATTATAATAGATACCTAATTTGGCATAAAGTTAAATTCTCTTGGAAAAAGTATGCTGGCTAATAGAAAATCTAATCCTTTGTTTATACTCTTATGAAAAATTAAGTTGGCTACACTAAACTATTAGTAGGTTCTCAAAGCTGGAATAAAAGTCTGATGGTTCAGCTACATAAACTAAGAATGTTTTGTAAAGTAATAGGTACTTGAATTGTAGGCAATAATGTTAAGGAGTTAACAAAATTCATGAATGATCAATTTAATCCTGAATGCATTAGATGATAAGAGACAGGACCACTACTTCATATAAATGCTAAAATTAAAAGAAAAAAGAAAAAAAAACCCTGTGATTTACTAAAACATTAACACAAACTGCATACTTATTGATTTAGAAAGACTTTTATGAGAACTCAAAGCCCATCCCTATGACCCCTAAAATCAATTTTAATCTATAATTAAGGGAAATGCCCTTATCACAGAACAAATGTCTTTGTAACTTGGACTAAGCGTATTTATATTTCCTTCTAATAATATCTGTTTTGCTTGACCTATCTATTAATTTTGAGTCACTCACATGCCTAGCTTATTATGCTTAAGCAATCTTTTCTGGCTCTTGATTTACACAGCCTGAACAAATGATGAAGAAAAAGCATTTGATAAAATCCAACATCTTTTCTTGATAAAAACCTTCAACAAATGAGGTGTAAAAGGAACACACCTCAGCATCATGAAGGCCATATATGACAAATCCATGGCTAATATCTTAGTAAACAGAAGAAACCTGAAAGCAGCAACAGGACAAGGATGCCCATCTCTCCACTCTTATTCAACACAGGACTAGAAGTCCTAGCCAGAGCAATTAGGAAAGAGAAAAAAATAAAGGGCATCCAAATTAGAAAGGAGGAAATCAAATTGTCCCTGTTTGCAGATGACATAATCTTATATATAGAAAACCCTAAAAGCTCCACCAAAAAACTCTTAGAACTGATAAACAAATTCAGTAAAGTTGCAGTATACAAAATCAACACACAAATACCAGTAGCATTTCTATACACCAATAACAAGCAAGATGAAAAAGAAACCAAGAAAGGAATCCCATATACAATAGCTAAAAAAAAAAAATACCTAGAAATAAATTTAATAAAGGAGGTGAAAGATTTGTACAAGAAAAACTATAAAACACTGATGAAAGAAACTGAAGAGAACACAAAGAAATGAAAAGACATCCCATGTTCATGGATTGGCAGAATCAATATTGTGAAAACTACATACTACCAAAAGCAATCCACAAATTCAATGCAATCCCTACTGACAGAAGAAAATTGATCACGTAGAAGTAGAGAGTAGAATGTTGGTTAACAGAGGCTGGAAAAGGCAGGGGAGAAGAGAAGAAAGAGGTTGGTTAACAAACACAAAACCACAGCTATATAGGAGAAATAATATCTAGTGTTTTGTAGCAGTGTAGGATGACTATAACAATTTATTGTGTGTTTTTAATTAGCTATAAGAGATGATTTTGAATCTTCTCGACACAAAGGAATGATAAATGTTTTAGGTAATGGAAAAAGAAATCAGTGGGTGCCAGGGTTTCAAAGGAGAAGGGAGGAAGTGGAGATGAATAGGAGAAACACAGAGGATTTTTAAGGCAGTGGTACTATTCTGTATGATACTGTAATGGTGAACACATGGCATTATGCATTTGGCAAAACCCATAGAACTGTACAACACAAAGAGGAAACCTTAATGTAAAACTGAGTTAAAAATAGGTGAATATTGGATCATAATTGTAACAAATGCACCACACTTAAGTAACATGTTAATAATAGGAGAAACTGTGTGTATGGTGGGGTGTGGAAACTATCTGTAATTTCTGTCCAATAGCTTTGTAAAGTTAAAACTGTTATGAAAATAGAGTTCATTACTTAGGAAAAAAACAACATGTATAAGAAAAAAAAAGTGAGAGACAAGTGACTCTTCCTTTCACTTGAACACTCAGAGGCCATTGCAGGGTGATTAATTGGCCTAATGTGAATATTGTTGTGTCACAGGGAATAGGAAGGCCTGAAGAGAGGGAGAGAGACCAGGGCAGTTGGTGGAGCAGTCAGACACACACAACATTTATCGGTAACGTTCGCTGTCTTAGATAGGAGAGGTTTGTGGTACCCCAAAACAATTACAAGAGTAATATCAAAGATCACTAGTCACAGATCACCATAATAATAATTATAAAATAGTTTACATTAATAATAATAATAAAGTTTGAAATATTGCAAGAATTACCAAAATGTAATACAGAGACAAAGTGAGCTCACACTGTTGGAAAAATGGCACCCATAGACTTGCTTGATGCAGGGTTGCCACAAACCTACAATTTGGAAAAATGCAATATCTACAAAATACAATAAAGCAAAGTTCAATAAATGCCTGTAATATATGGAAAAGTGTCTGGCAGGTGACAGGCATGCAATAAATGGTGGCTCTTATATCTTTAAAGAAAAAATAATTTAAGTTTTAAGAGACAACTTAAAGAGACAAAGTTTTTTAAATTTAATTCTGTATGCATAATTATTAGACAACAATGATTGTGACACCTCTGATTTACAATTAAACTCTTATTCATCCTGTGTATCTTCATTCTATTTCTTATTGCTCTTATTTTGTCATAACATTACTTTTTCTTCTATGTAAGTCTGCTGTGAGTAGAAAAGTAATTTATTTAAAGATCTTCACATTTACAATTCCCTCAAAGAATGGAATTGGAGATTTGGAATAAGAAAAAAGAATTCTGTATGAGTTAGTGATAAATGTGAAAATTAAAATGTAAAAGTATAATTTTAAAGTACAAATGACTATGAGTCATATTTCAATTAAAATAGGTAGTTTAATATAATGAATAGATAGGAAAAACTTGTGAATATCTAAGCACAATTCTAGAAAATATGGTACTATTTTTGTTGAATGCATCACTATTTATGAAGTGACTTTTTTGAGGTTAATGTACTTCTTTCATTAGATGACTTACTCTTTGTCCTTTAGGACCTTGACTCCCTGGTGATCCTCTTGCTCCCACATGACCCTGCATGTTGCAAATTTAAAAATCAGTCATAGAATTCACAATAATGTTATCAGAATAATGGTGATAAACTTTCTTATCACATGTGTAATACTCTCCTTGGGAATTCTTAAAATAAAATTGATTAGCCTCCTTTAAAAATATGCATTAATTATCAAAAACCTCCCCCAGTATTCTGCCTTTGGAATATTCTACTATTTGGAGAAGTGTCATTTCTGGGTGTTTACACCCTGAACAAATAATAAGAAGCTTTTAATATTCACTGACTAGGTAGTTTTCAGAGGAACACACATGGAGTGATGGAGAAAGGAGACACTCAGCCAGTCAGACAAATCTAATCTGCCTGGCCCATCAAAGAAACAAAGGCTATCACAGTAAGATGTCTTTACCATTTTTCTAGACATTTATCATAATCCCAAACATAAAAATAGATTTTTGTTCTGTTACCATGAAAATGCCACAAGATGTTCCAAATTAATACACCACAAAAAACAGCCTGCAATGGAGATTAAGTTGCTATTTGTAAGTCAATTATAATGAATTATTTTTATACCTATAGTCATCAAGACTCAGTTGGAAAACAAAATTTATTTATCTATAATATTAGGTAGATAAAAATGGAGTAAACTTTAGTATTTCAGATTTACTTATTCTTTTCTGTGAGTAAACAAACTGTCAACTATGCTATAGATCAGTCTCCCTAATTTAAGAAGCCAATAACATGTCTATAAATATACTGGAAAATCAGGCTTAGTTTTAAAACACAAGCTTCACAAAAGTTAGTATAAGCCATTTCTGATAAGAAAATTTTGGCTCAGGGGATCCTAAAGGCTAATCTTTTTCATATTTAAGTTCATAATAACTGCCAAATGTGGATAAGCAAAATTTATCTCTTTAGAGGTAAAATTTCACTATCTTTCTGTAAACAACAAATGAAGTATTTTTAAAATCAACTTTTGGTGGAGAGGTGAGCCAACCCGAGTGACTCACGCAGAGGTGCGGTCTGCCCCTCCCCCTCAGACCCTGCCCCACTGAAAGGTAAGTCACGCAGCTCATTCTATGGCCATAGACTCTGGATTAGGACCCAAGGTGGTATGATATAACCACTACCACACCTACTGTCAAGCATGGACCATTCACCACCACAGTAGCTGCAAGGGCCACTTTATAGGTAACCTACTGCTCACCCAACTACACTGATTGAATAAGAGTCACCAGTAAAGCCTGCAAATAGAGTAAAAAATCTTTATCCTCATAGCCAACCTCAGTGTAATAGAAGAAACAAACCCTCTACCAAATGATCAAACATCAATGAAAAAATACTAGAACTACAAATAAACAAGAAGATATGATACCACCGAAGGAATACAGTAATGCTCAAATTTCAGACGCCATAGAACAGGGAATCCTTGAAATGTCTGAAAAAGAATTCAGAGCAATGCTCTTAAGAAAACTTGAAGAAATAAAAGAAGACTCAGTTAGAGCACACAATGAAACAAGAAAAAATATCCAGAATATGAAGGACGAAATCTACAAAGAGATTCATATCTTAAAAAAGAGTGTAGCAGAACACCTACAAATGAAAGATTCACCCAGTGAAATAAGAAACACAACAGAGAGCTTGAGCAGCAGGCTAGAGCAAGCAGATGAAAGAATTTCCGATCTCAAAGATGGTCTTTTTGAAATAACCGAGGCAGACAAAAAAAAAAAAAGGAAAAAAGAATTAAAAATAATGAGGAAAACCTAAGAGAGAGAGAGAGCAGACAACCTCAAGTGCTCTAACATCCAAATCGTGGGTATTCCAGAAGGGGAGGAGAAAGGAAAAGGTATTGAAAACCTATTTAAGGAAAACATAACAGAAAACTTTCCAGGTGTAGGGAGAGATACAGACTTTCAGATCCAAGAAGCTCAAAGGTCCCCAAACATATTCAATCCAAAAAGATTCTCCTCCAGACACATTATAGTTAAATTTGCAAAGCTCAAAGACAAAGAGAGAATTTTAAAAGAAGCAAGAGAAAAGCATCAGGTCACCTATAGGGGAGCCGCCATCAGTCTAACAGCAGACTTCTCAACTGAAACCCTACAGGCCTGAAGAAAGTGGAATGATATATTCAAAATACTAAAAGAAAAAAATTGCCAGCCAAGAATTCTTTACCCAGCAAGGCTCTCCTTCAGAAATGAGGGAGGGGCCGAGCCCATGGCGCACTCGGGAGAGTGCAGCGCTTGAAGTGCAGCAGCGCTCCCACCGCGGGTTCGGATCCTATATAGGGATGACCGGTGCGCTCACAGCGCTCACTGGCTGAGCACGGTGCGGCCGGTCTCCAAAAAAAAAAAAAGAAAGAAAAAGAAATGAGGGAGAAATAGCATATTTCCCAGACAAACAAAAGTTGTGGGAGTTCACCACCACATGACCAGCCCTGCAAGAAATTCTCAAGGAAGTCCTTCATCTGGAATCTGAATAATGATGATCACTATCACAAATATACAAGAAAGAGCAAAACCCACCACTAAAACAAAACTGCCAATGAGAAAGTGAAAGAAGCTAAATCATGCCACATTAAATGTCCAACCAACATTGAAGAAGAAAAATAAACAGGGAAGTAATGACCAAAAGGTATTTAAATCATGTAAACAAAAAGCCATTAAATGACAGGAATTAAACAATACTTGTCAATAACTACCCTAAATGTGAATGGATTAAACTCCCCATTCAAAAGACACAGACTGAAAGATTGTATTAAAAAGCTAGACCCAAGTATATGCTGTCTTCAAGAGACCCACCTCACCTGTAGAGACACACACAAACTAAAAGTGAAGGGCTGGAAAAAGATATACCATGAAATTTGAAACCAAAAATGAGCAGGAGTAGCTATTCTTATACCAGACAAAACAGACTTTAAATCAAAAACCAAAAAGAGACACACAAGGCCACTATATAATGATAAAAGGATCTATCCAGCTCAAAGATTAAACAATCATAAATATATATGCACCCAATACTAGAGCACCCAGATATATAAAGCAAACTCTCTTAGACCTAAAGAAAGAAATAGGCCCTAATACATTAACAGTGGGAGATCTGGACAGATATTCCAGGCAACGAATCAACAAAGAGACACAGGATTTAATCTACACCCTAGACCAACTGGACCTGGCAGATATATATAGAAAATTTCACCCAGCAACTATAGAATATACTTTCTTCTCATCAGCTCATGGAACATTCTCCAAGATAGACCACATATTAGGTCACAAACCTATTCTCAGCAAATTTTTAAAAAAACAAAATCATTCCAAGTATCTTTTCAGACCACAATGGATTAAACTGGAAATTAATAATAAGCAAAACCCTGGAAACTATACAAATGCACGGAAACTAAACAATAGGCTGCTGAATTACCTATGGCTCCAGGAAGAAATTAAACAAGAAATCAAAAAATTTCTTGAAACTAATGAAAATAAACTTCTATTTAACATAGTACTAGGGGTACTAGCCAGAGCAATCAGGCAAGAGAAAGAAATAAGGGTAATCCAAATTGGAAAAGATGAAGTCAAACTTTCTTTATTTGCAGATGACATGATAATATATATATAGAAAAACCTAAAGACGCTATCAAAAAACTCCTAGATCTAGTTAATAACTTCAGTAATAATGCAGGATACAAAATAAATGCCCCCAAATCAATTGCATTTATATACTCAAATAATGAATTAACAGAAAGAGAAATAAAGTAAGCCCATTTAAAATTGCCAGAAAAAAATAAGATACCTAGGGATAAATTTAACCAAGGAGGTGAAAGACCTCTTCAATGGGAACTACAAACCACTTCTGAAAGAAATTAAAGAAGACACAAAAAGATGGAAAGATATTTCATGCTCTTAGATTGGAAGAATTAACATTGTGAAAATGTCTATACTACCCAAAGCAATCTACAGATTCAATGCAATCCCCATCAAAATACCAATGACATTCTAACAGAAATGAAAAAAATAATCTTACCTTTCATATGGAAAAACAAAAGACCCTGAATAGCCAAAGCAATCCTGAGCAAAGAAAACAAAGCTGGAGGCATAACTCTGCCTGACTTCAAATTATACTACAAAGCTGTTGTAACCAAAACAGCATGGTACTGGTATAAAAAAAAACAGCATGGTACTGGCATAAAAATAGACATTCAGATCAGTAGAGCAGGATTGAGAACCTAGAAATTAATGGTGAGGTTTACAGCCATCCAATACTGGACAAAGGCAACAAAAATCTACATTGGGAAAAAGACTGCCCCTTCAACAAATGGTGCTGGGAAAATTGGATATCCATATGCAGAAGAATGAAACTAGATATGCACCTCTCACCATATACTAAAATCAACTCAAAATGGATTAAAGACCTGAAACTGTAAAATTGCTAATGTATAAGACCTGAAACTGTAAAATTGCTAAGGGAAAATATAGGTGAAACACTTCAGGAATTAGGTCTGGGCACAGACTTTATGAACATGAGCCCCAAAGCACAAGCAACAAAAGAAAAATAAAATAAATGAGAGTACATCAAACTAAAAAGCTTCTGCACAGCAAAGGAAACAATCAACAGAGTGAAATGACAACCTACAGAGTGGGAGAAAATTTTTGCTAACTATGCATCTGACAAGGGATTAATACCCATAATATAAAAGGAACTCAAGCAATTACACAGTAAAAAACAAATAATCCAATTTAAAAAATGGGCAAAGGAGCTGAATAGACATTTTTCATAGGAAGACATACAAACGGTCAACAGGTACATGGAAAAATGCTCCACATCACTAGTCATCAAGGAAATGCAAATTAAAACTACACTGAGATACCATCTAACCCCAGTTAGACTGACTATAACCAAAAAGACAGTGAATAACAAATGCTGACAAGGGTGTGGAGAGAGGGAACACTCCTACACTGTTGGTGGGACTGTAAATTAGTACAACCACTATGGAAAACAGTATGGAGTTTCCTCAAACAACTACAGGTAGACCTTCCATACAATCCAGCATTCCCACTTCTGGGTATATACACAAAGGAATGGAAATCATCATGTAGAAGGGATATCTGCACTCCCATGTTCATCACAGCTCTGTTTGCGATAGCCAAGACATGGAACCAACTTAAATGCCCATCGATGGATGACTGGATAAGGAAACTGTGGTATATATACACCATGGAATACTACTCTGCCATAAAAATGAATGAAATTCCCCCATTTGCAACAACATGGATGAGCCTGGAGTAACTTATGTTGAGTGAAATAAGCAAAGCACAGAGAGATAAATACCACATGTACTTCACTCATAAGTGGGGGCTAAGAGAAAAAGAAGGAAGGAAAGAAAGATGACAGTGGTGCATTGGACTTGCAGAGTCCATACCCTAGGATACAAAGTGGAATGAGGGGGAAAGGAGTAGGGGGAGCGGGAAGGAGGTTGGGGATAATTTGGTGGGGGACATTGGGTACAAACACAATTTGTGGTAATGGGCATGCTGCCAGTGTGGATTTCACTTTCATATCTTGGGCATGAAGGGTGACAATCAACTTTGTATCTCATGAATATTCATAACCAATTAAAAAAAAAGAATTAATGCCCTCCTAAAGGGGGAAGCACTCTTGTGGGAATTGATTCGTTCCCGCAAGAGTGGGTTGTTAAAAAAAGTGTAATAATAAAAATCAAATCAATTTTTGTTTAATAAAAGTACATTTTCTATGAATTTTATCTGAGGATATTTGCAAGCTTTTAAGAAAAATATGTTGGAACTTATGCTTGTGATTTGTTTATCTGATTGGTCTCACTTCTAGTCTTGATTTCTTTTTTTTTTTTTGTTCCTTTTTGTCTTTTTCCGTGACCGGCAACGGATCGCAAACCTCAGTGTCGCGCCCGTACCAGACCGGGACCGGCCACGGGATCGCAACCCTCGGTGTTGCTCCCGCCCCTCGCTCAGCCAGTGAGCGGCCGGTCTGTATGTGGGATCCGAACCCTCGGCGGGAGCGCCACCGCGCTTCCCAAGCGGCGCACTATAGCAGTGCGCCACCGGGCCGGCCCCTAGTCTTGATTTCTGACCCTGTTTTCTTATGTATGGTTTTTAGGAAGTATAAATGTTTTCCAGTTTAAGTTGCAGAACTGAAAATGGTTAATGAACCAAGTATTGGTGAGGAACTTCATGATACATGACATATTCCAAAGTGTTTTTTATAATTTGGGAGAGAAGCAGTCTCCACTAGTTTACACATGACTTCTTTTGCATAAAAACGAAAAATACAGCATAACAAAAGCGATGGATTTAAATTAAAATAAACACTCTAAAAGGGATTATAAAATCTTTTCTGTACTTACAGGTAATCCCAATGGACCCACGGGTCCTGGAACTCCAGGAGGACCTGGATATCCCTATATTTAAATAAAATAAGAAAGACACAAAATCTCCATTGCATTTAATCATTTTTTTAAGATAAAGCAGTAAACTATAGTCATAAAAAGGGATAATTTGATAGGGTTTCCCTCTCCTATCCAAGATATAAGAGCCCACAGAAAATTATCTGCAGGTAGACCACAGAAGTAAACAACATGTTTACACAGAAGCCATGTATCCATTTATTAGAAGGCCTTTGCATAGAGAAGAAAATTGCTAACTAGAATCAAATATAACAGGCTACTGAGAAGAGAACATTCATTTAACCTTTCTGTAGATTATGTTATTTTATGCATGGATGTACGTTATGCTGTATAGATCAAGAAACCATATCCTTTTCAGAGAGGTCAGGGAATTTTATAATTAAGGAATGTACGTATGTACAAATACTCTAGCCTGTCAAATTTTAGAAAGGCCACACACTTTATGGTATTAGCATTGATTCAGATAATGCTTTAGGAGGTAATATTTTCTGAAATTAATTAGTCTTATGGTTATGTTAAGTTTTGTAGCTGACAGCAACTGGAAATAGCTAAAAAAAATCTTATAGAGCTCTTATGATAATATAGAAGTTAGAAATGAAGAATAACTTAGGTAAAATAAATTTGTAGACAGTATTATGTGCCACAAAATCTATCACAATATGTTTTCTGAAAGGAAGATTCTCTTATTGATAATAATCATTCATTCTAGTTCCTGTCACATTTAGATATTATTTAATAAACTAAAAAGTGCAACCCAGATATAAAAACTGTCAGCTATTACTATCTTAAAGATACAAGAGTAAGATTAATTCTGGGTTCTGAGCTTTCATATGTCAAAAAATTACATCATGCTCACAAATTCATGGAATACTGGCAATGATGATATGTGCCATATAAACTATAAGCTGTAGAAGAATAAGTAGAATTCTAATTGACTTTTCTTCTTCATCAATTTTAGCTCATTTATGGTGGTTTAATTCTTCTCCTAAAACTACAGAATCATTTGACTAGTGCTTTCTAGTGCCTTAGTGCCATATGGCATTCTAGAAGACAAATCATTTAAGGAGAAAATTCTAATGGAAATTTATTACAGTATTTTTTTTTTTTTTTTGGTGACTGGCAGGTACAGGGATTTGGACCCTTGACCTTGGTATATAACACTGTGCTCTAACCAACTGAGCCAACCGAAATATATTATAAAATAGCATTTTTCACTTACTTAAATTCCAGTCAAGGTATTTCCACCTCTGAAATGCCTCAACTTTATTATGTTCTTTGGAACCATATTTTTCAAATCACTGAGCTCTTACCATAACACCCTTTTCACCTTGGGGACCTAATGGGCCTGGACTTCCACGGTCTCCCTTTTAAAACAACAAAGAAAACAGAGTGACATTGAGGCATGTTGATTAGTCATGACTGAGCTAAGAATAGACAGAAAAATTGTCAGACTCATCTTAATTTCCACGAATTAAAAAATTTATAAATTTTGCATTTTTACACTAAAAGTGCTAGACTTTTAATACAATAAAAATTCTCGTAAGATGTTTTCCAATGGAAAAATACTAAAAGTCTTATTAAAATGAAGAAAATGGAAAGGTGGATAAACAGGACTTGAAATTAAGCATGTATCATATGCTAAAATTTTGTAAGTGAAAAGGCTTGTAATTTTATGGGACTATATGAGAATAGTGAAAGTATCAAAGAGTATTAAAAAGTAACTAATCTGTATAACCATTAAAGAAAGTTTTATCTCTATAGTCTGTTTACCACAATTAGGTACCAAAGAAATAATTTTGGAGGAAGGACCATGATAATCAAATCTGCCCTAGCAGATTAAAAGGACTAAACCGATTCATATTAAAATTGTCCGGATTGCAAAATATCTCAGTGTAGAAGATTTAACCCAGCATACAAATGACTAAATCAGAATGAAAAAATTACAAATCTACATTTTTTAACTGAACTCATAGTATATTTTGTTATATTGTTAGTAAAAGAAAAAATCAATAGGTGTATATCAAGCACTTTGAATGTTACTGAGAGTTAGGAGAGAGATGAAAAAAACTTAACTTAGATTCTACCCTCAAGTAACTGCAGACATGATATTAACAGAGACAAAACAGTTAGAGGACAATTAGATTTCAAACTGTGTGGTACAAATTCTAAGTCCAGGAAGGAAAGAAATCAGATAAAATTAGAGGAGTCTGGGGAGACTTCATAAGGAGATGGAAATTTGGCTGAGTACAGTAGTTTGGTTTTGAATAAATACTTGTAGAGGGAAGGGAGAGGATACTCTAGACCAATAAAATGGCAAGAATGGGAATAGGAACAAGTATATAACATATAAGGCAGAGGAGAGAGAAAGGTAAAATAACTTATTCTCTTTTGAAACTGCTTCATATAGGGGCCTTGTTTCTAGTCATAAACCTAGACTTTGTGTTTCATCTTTTCTCCCAAGACCACATCTTTATAACCAAAAGGGTACTCTGCCTTTTAAAAATTAGAGACATATGTGCTATTAGCAGTATTTCAATATATTTAAGAGATTCAGTACAGGTCATGTGTTAATGTTATGAGTGGTTTCTAATTAACAGAAAATGCCATATGAAAGTCTCTCCTTTGAATTTAGCCTAGAATTCTTACTATAAAGCAATGAAAGAAATTACCTTTTCTCCGATACTTCCAGTAATCCCAACTTCTCCAGGTAAACCAACAGGTCCCTTTTAGGAAAAAACATAACAGAAAATATACATATATTGCATTGGTATTGTAGCATCCTGGTCTTTTTTTTTTTTTTGTCTTTTTTTGTGTCCGGCAATGGTATCGCAACCCTCGGTGTCACGCCCGCACCTCACTCAGCCAGTGAGCGGGAACCGGTCTGCATGTGGGATCCAAACCCTCGGCGGGAGCGCCGCCGCACTCCCAAGCGGCGCACTGTAGCAGTGTGCCACCGGGCCAGCCCGCATCCTGGTCTTAAATCACCTGTAATTGTTATATTTCTCTCTAACTCATCCTAAATTTTATCTGGGAGTAAAATTTACAGTCTATGACTTCACATCAGAATTAACTTATTTAGTCAATAAACAAATATGTATGAGTGCCTAATATGTGACAGGTACTATGCTGGGAGGGAATAAGTTTCAAATCCAAACATAATCTCTGTCCTTGTGGAACTAACAATCTACTGGATGTTAAAAAAAAAAAAAAAAATCCCTGCAGTTTTCATACCTGCTTGAGGTGGATATATTAATTCAAAAAGTCAATTCTGTGACTGTTTTTTCAAAGTCCATCAGCACATGAGGGAACAGCACATGCCCATCATTCATTCATTCGCTCACTTATGTTTGGTGCCCACACCGTGCCAGGCACTGTGATGGTTGATGAGATTTTATTAGTGAGCAAGATAGACCTAGGCTCTGCCCTCATGAGGGAAGAAGTCTTGTAACACAGAGACAAAAACAACGAAATTAAACATTAAGTAATTACAAATTGTGATATAAGCTCATAAAGGAAACAACTATGAGGCTGAGGTGGAGACTAAGAGAGAAGGCTTGTTTTAGCAGATAGTCATGGAAGGCCTGAGGCCTGACATTTCATCTGAAAACTGAAGAACAAAAAGTGGCTGGCCAGCCAAATGAAAAACGGAGAAAGAATATTCTAGGTAGTAAATACTCATACCTTGAGTAAGGAATGAAACTGATGTGTTAGAAGTGAAAGATGGCAATCATTAACACTTTCAGAGTGAACAAGGCTCAGGGTTTATCTACCTTTGTCTTTAGGGGTTCTGTATTATTCCTCCTTCAGGCAGTACAGAGAGCAAAAAGAATAACATAAAACAAGCTTTACAAGAAGAGCATAATCCCTTTCCTGTCTGTCTGAAATTATAAGGAAGTTATTTTCTATTATTATTTAAAGACATATGAAACATTTTCTTTTTCAATAGTTACCAAGCAAAGACCCTGCTTAGATAGATTCTCATATAATACATATTAGCATATAGAAAGCACTGAATCAAAAAAAATTTGCTTGCTATGTTGAATCTAACTGAAGTTAATGCATGTGGCATAATTTTAGTCACATCAACCCATATCGATATACACATCCTTATCCATATCCATATCAATATCTATCTCAATATCTATTTATCCATCGATCAGTCAAATGATCCAGGGTACAATAATATATATTAAGCATTTTCGACATGCCTGAGATAAACCTCATAACCACCGTATTTGGTAGTATTATTGTGATTCCCCTTTGATAGATGAGGCAGATGAGTTAAGCACTTTGCTGAGGCAGATGAATGTAAGTAGTATGGATCAGTTTAAGTGGCTACTGAGCACTTGAAATGTAGCTAGTCCAAACTGACATACACCCTCAATGTAAAAGACACACCAGATTTTGAAGACTTATGAAATCTAATTAAGGATTATTTACACTGATTACATATTAAAATGATAATGGTTTGGATATATCAGCTGAAATAAAATATTACTAAAATAAACTTCACCTCTTTCTTTTTACCTTTTTTAATGTGGTTAGTAGAAAACTTTAAATTACATATGTGGCTCACTTTTGTGACTTGCTTTATATTTCTATTGGACTGCACTGACCTATACTCTTAAATGCTATGCTAGTATTATTGTTTATATCTAGTTGGAAGTGATCTAATAATTTATTTCTGTGGCTTCTTGCAGGGCTGGTTGAGACTTAGTGGGGCCTGTATCACAGTTAGACTTCTTCCTCTACCCAAGTCTGCTTCTTTTCCCTTCTTTACATAACCTAATCAACACCCTCTAGTAAAATGCCATCTCAGCAGCTGGCTTCTGGAAAATCCAATTGGCATTCACAGTTTTTCTCTAACTGTGGGCCTCAATCCACTGAGGACCATGAAATTACTGAAATTACTGAAAAATATCAATGAGTATACATACACACAATGAGTATATATATAACTGATACTTAAAGAAATGGTGATTCTGCTATGGGGAGCAAAATCTTTTATCTCAAAAATTTTTTAAAAAAAATCAGTGTAACTAGGTTGATTCCATATCTTGGCTATTGTGAATAGTGCTGCAATAAACAATAACTGTCATATCCAGCAGTGTGGCTCTTAAGGTACACCCTGTACCTAGTTTCAATGCCTGGGTAAGGACTACATCCTTAGAAAAAAGAGGATGTTTTATCCTGTCTCATTATAAGGAAGGATATTGTTCATTGCATATATGTGGCTTCTGGAGATTGGCTTCCAGATCCAAAGCATAATAGCATTTAGGATGCATCCCAAATCCAACCTGAGAGAGACTCTCTGATATACTCATTCCTTTTCATTTGTACTAAGTGATGATTTAATCTTTTCCCAATGATTGGCTAGGAATGATTGTTTTGAGACCTCACTAAAGACTGAAGACATTTTGATTGCAAAAAGACAGCTTATTATAATTTGTTTTCTAGAATATTTGACTGACTTTACCAAAAATTGCCTGAAGTCTACTTCTGTTTCATTATGTGAGGTGTGCTTATATTACGTGGGGCAATTTTACTATACTTGTATCAGTATCTAGTTCCTAAGGAGTTCAAATAAACCAAATCAGAAAATGATGTAGCACAGAAATTATGCTAAATAATATCTGTTACTTAACATAGAATATACATAGCCCTCTTAATTTCTTTTTCTGGCATAAAGTAGTAGTATAAGTAAATAAAAATAATGATTACTCATCCGTGCTATCTATGTAGTCTTTGAAACTAAGAGTGTGCCAAATTTGTCTTATTAATTTAAGGTTTCCAAAAATCAAAGAAACTATCTACAAACACTGGTGACTAACTGAAGAAAAAACCCATTTTATGAAATATCCTGCATGTATTAACACTTTAAAAGGTATAAAAGTACCATAAAATAAATTCATTCATTTAGTCAACATATTTGACAGCATAATACATGCCAGGAATACTAAATAATGTATCATGTTTTATATTGCCAGTAAAATTTAAAATATAGACAAGCACTTCATGATTTTAGAGGTTTCTAATTGGACAATAGTCTACTTTGGGGCATAGTTCCTCCACTTAAGGCTCTTGAAATTTGGATACATAAGGTTTCCTAACAGATATAACTAGATGGTCTGCTCAATATCCAAATAGGTTCTGACATTTCCCAAACAACTATTTGACTCTTATTCCCTTGGATCAAACATGTAGTCATGAAATAAAAGTTCAGAATGAAGTTTTGCCTCAGGAAGGTCTGGCAGTGATCAAGAGAATATGCCTGGAATGTCTCCTCAACAGATGCTTTTACTCACACTTGTGTTATGGGAAATTCGAGAATAGAAAGGCAAATTGTGCTGTACTTCCTGCAATCAATTTGCCTGGCAATGTTGCTCCCACATTCTGCCCTTTTGAATGAGTCTCTTGGTTAAAAATCAAAGGTGATAATGTGAGTATCAGCACAGGGCTACCACCTATATAGGTTGAACTTAGGTTATTAGTTAAAAAAAGTTTTTTTATTGAATGAGAAATAAGAGGAATTCTCCTGCTATGACACTTACATTGCAAAACATTTGAACTGTAATCTCTTCCTAAGACTCCAATAATAAACAGGAGGATCGTTCACAGAGAATATGTGCTTACAATTACAATGCATTTTTTTTTCATATAAGGGGTCTTCAAAAAGTTCTCGGAAAGTTTCACATTATCTTTTAATTCCATTTTTCCATGAACTTTTTGAAGCACCTTCATATAAAACGTTAAGTTAGTTCTATATTTCTTTTATGCAGACCTCACAGGTACTGTGATTTTTGTGGATTTATCTAAAGACAAAATTAGAGTGAGAAAATCTACCACCTGATGCCTCCTGTTAAGGGCTGTACCCTCTCCCTCCCCACCCCCAGCCTCCCTTAAAATCTCTCTACCTAAAAATAAGGGAAATAACGGCATGATATGGTGAATTACTAGTCCAAAGGCTTGAGTTCCAGCTTAGATATTCAATTCTGAAGCAAGATCTTTAACTAGTTTGGGTCTCATCTTCCTAATTCTAAAAAGCAAAGAGGATGGACTAGATAATCCCTCTCACAATCTCCAAATCTAAAATTCTATGACTTTAACCATCAGAGAAAAGAAAAGCACTCAGGTATTTAAAGAGTATTTAAAACCTGTTGAATAATTAAGAAAGAGGTAAATTTTCAAAAATTTGGAATACTTTTATTTCGTAGTGAGGAGGGTTTATACAGCACTCTGCATCTTCAATATCTCTATGAAACTATTCACTGACATTATCTACAGAAGGCAGACTTTGTGACCTCTCAGAGATTATTTACTGTTTTCTTTAATCCCCCAAATTTGTCTTCTAAACTTGTGTGAGCTCTTTGAGAGTAGGGGCTGTGTTCTATTCATTTCATCTCAATGCTAATCTCATTGCCTAGACCCATACTTGGTACATAGTAGGTGCTCAGTAAATATTTGTAGAATAAATGCATAATATAAATTGGGTGCTTATTTCTTAACTAAAATATTAAAATTGTGGAAGTTCCCACAGCTTGTTTACACATAGACATGTTACGATCTTTACTTGTTGGTTTAAGTTATGAAAAAATAAGGAAGGAAAAGTGGAGATTATAGAGGGAGAAAGATGTCCACAAGAGACTTTTTTTCCCTCTCTTCAGGCAATGACAAACCTTCCTGAAGTTCTCTGTCATCTGTTTGGACTATTGTTCTCTGCAAT